GTGAAGCTTCCCTAAAGCACTCCCCGCTCCCAAAGACGGCCACCACGGAGTACAGCAGGTGTATAGATACCATCTTTGCACTGAAGAAGTCCCAGAAATGTTCTGGAAGTGGTACTAATGAACGTAAATGCTTATCATGAAAATTTTCTCTGAAGCGAATGCTTCCTTTTACCTCATTTATGAGGTGGACTCTTCACATGCGAGGCTGAGCTTAGTGGGTGTTAATTCCAGTCATGGGATGGTGGCAGGAGCAACCCCAATGATCAACCTAGAGCAGACAGAAAATATACTCGTTTGGTTCTAACTCACCTTCATGGTGTATGTTAAAATAGGCTTCTACTGAACGCTCCAGAAATTAAAAAACAAAAACAAAAAAACACTTGAACCAAGTAGACCCCGACTTGGGATCTGTTCAGCGTCTCCACACTTCTCTTCCCTGGCAAACAGGTTCACCGGTGGGACGACACAAAGCCCGGGTGTGGTGGATGGAGTGCACGGAGAGCTCCCATTCTTCATCCTTCCGTGTCACCGGCCCTTGGCCACTCCACTCCGCAGCCTAGCCCTGCGGCTTGCTTCTGGGGGGCGCCGGTCAGCAGGCAGCACGCAGACTCGCAAGGGGCTGTGGGCTAGCGGATGGAGGACGAGAGGGACGTGGAAGAGGGCTGAGTCACTCCAGGCAAGGCCAGCTCCAAGGTGAGCCGGGCAGGACAGGAAGGTCTGCCCAGAGCCACCCGGCCCAAATCACGGACCGGACTCCCGAACGAAGTAAACGTCTACTGTTGTACGCCACTGGTCTTCCTGTTTGTCCTGCATTACTTTAGGGGCAACAGAGAATTGCTACAGTAGGTTTTCATTGGACACCTCAGAGTGTGACATCTGTTGCAACTTTCCTGCGAGAGAGAGGAGCTGGTGGTGAAGGCCTCACAGTTCCCTGCTCCTCCCTCTGGCAGGCCCCGCAGATTCAGTCATCTGCGCCCGAGCACCGACTTCGTGCTGAGGGCTCCTGTTTAATCCTCACAGCCGCCCTCAAAAGTCACTTCCTCATTTCGGGGGATCTGGGGAAATGAGGAACTGGAGGCAGTCTGATGGCATGGTTTATCTAAAGTCACCATCCCCTGGCAGAATCAGGGCCCAAACCCAAGACCTCGGATTCCGAGTTAGTTGCATTTTCCATGACGTCAGAAATGATAACCAAGGCTTCAAACCAGCAGAATGTTATTCTGTCCAAAGTCATTAAAGACAGAAAAAGTTTGTTTAAAGAACGCAGCGGGGGGGTTTTTATTCCATCATCCAAGATAACTGAAGTATTTGACCGTGACAGGGCGGTCTCCTTCAAGCATTCCACCCTTACTTAGCATTCCTGTGGCTTAAATGACCCTCAGGATACTGCTATTCCCAGCTGAGAAACACCCAGACCACCTGAATTATACAGATCCTCTATTTCCCGCTGTTATCTTAAAGGATTTTATGTTCAACACCCCTCTTCAGCCAATCACTGAATCTGTAAATTGTAAATTTGAAGATCAGTTGTTTCTTGGCAGTAGTACTGATTAGGAAAAAAGCACACCCACGGGCAAATGTTAAATGAGGGAATGCTGGACACACAAAATAGGTACCAATTTTCACAGGTGATCTTTTAAAGAACGTAGTAACCACCCAGATTCTTAGACCTCTCTCCCGTTTGTGATTTCAGTTCTTAAAAAATATAGGAACAAATCAACGAAATATTCTAAGCGAAGGCAGTTTTTTCTAAGGGTTTACGTGCAGGGATTATAGGGGTAGAGCAGAAAAGGGGGAAACAGGACACAGAGGAGAGAATGAAGCTGACATTTGGCAGATGAAAATCACACGAGAGGTTATATAGACATTGCTAGAAACTCCAAATTTAGTTTGCCAAATCTCACTTGGTTTTATTAATGTGTTCGATTTTATATTTATGTAAAATTTAAGCACCTGGATACTGAAATGATAAAAGACAAGAAAATAATGCTTTAGTTAATAAAATAGTTAAGCTCTTTAGAGTATAACAGTTTGTCAGTGGTTGTCATTTAGAGTTTAAAAACTGAATTTCCCCTGCCTCATACTTCTTTATGCAAGTTACTTGCAGTGGAAAAGTCCCTTTTGACAACTTCAGAGCATAGGAAGAAACCACGGCGGTTTGCAGGCCACTAATTCTGTTACAGATGAAAGCATTCAATTATCTCTATAAAATTCAATTCCTTAGAAAATGTGTTTGTGATTGACTAAATACGTTTTTAAAATGTGGTGCTACCACACACTATTATTCAAGATCTTGATTTAAAAGTTGGGACGATGTAGTTTGTGGTTCTTGGGTAAAACAAAGACAACAAATCTGTTTTTTTCAAGATAAATATTTTCAATATAAAAAGGCAACCTAGAATACTTTTATTCCAGATGTTAAGCTAGGCTCGTTTAAATCTTACTTTTTCCCACTGCAGTCCAAACAGAAAAGCTTCAATCATTTCAAAGTGGGTCATCATTTGCATTAAAATCTTATTTATATGGCATTTATATTCAAAAGTGGGATCAAGTCTAGTTTAGAGATAAGGTGTCTCATGAATAAAACTTGAACAAGATTTAAAATTGGAGTAAATTCTAGCTGAAGTTCAAGATAGGTGGTCTCAATGGAGAATCACTGTTGGGAAGTGGTTAAGGCCTCTGATGATTGCCACTTCTCATCAGAAAAATCTACATATACACAAAATCCTGCATAAAATTCCAAAGGGTTCTCTAGATTAATAATCTCTAGCTGTATGTGAGCAAAAAGCTGTTTCAATCAATACACACACACACATATGTGTTTCAACACCCCATGCCAAACAAGCATCCCCTCTTTGGCTGGGGCCATGGCCGGGACTCTCCCATCCTTTGCCCCAGACGGCCTGCAAGGTGGCACAGTCTCACTGTCGATGATAAAACTCAAGGTGCTGTACAGCTACCTCTGGCTTTTACCTCCTGGAGACCCAGGCTCTATTATTAGGTGTGGGCTAGCAGCTACCTAGCTTGTGGCTGTCCATTTTCTGCTCACCGTACACAGCAGTAGCTCAGCGGGGTCGTCCGGCTTTGGTGCACATTCAAAGCCACAAGCATGTTTGGCTCCAAGAGTTCTCGAGTCCTCTCCATCCGTCCACATTCAATGTATTATTGAATACCGTGCTTCGATGGGATTTTGTCCATCCTCTTACTGCACATTATTCAGAAGCACCTCCTTCCTCGGTGATCATCCTTCCTAAAGGGCTTTAAACATTTTTTAAGCAATCTTACTTCCTCTTAGCAATAAGGTAGGTGGCAGAGGCAGCTGACAAAACTACTGAAGACAGAAGGTAAATGTGGTGGTCAGTCCCTATCTCAAACTCCATCTGCCCCATAACCGATCATAAGGTCACGTAGCTCACCCTGGAGCACAGGAACGCATTCTTGCTGCTTCCTAAAGGCAGGCTTAGTCTGTTGTGGCTTAACCCTGAACTTGTTACCCAGATGTGATTCAATGTTCTTGCCTTCTAGTATTGTGGTTGATTTTAAAAATGTAATTGTCTTCCTATGTGCAAACCAGCATGACATTTGCTTTTTTACAAAATAACCATTAGTTAAACCAATTCTACAAATATTTCCAAACCCATTCATCATTGCAGAAAATAGCTTTTAGGTAAGGCTTTGACTTCTTTTGGATTCCTACATTTGTGAATTTTTAATTTTCACTTTGGGCTCATCTTTATATTCTGATGAAAAGGATGAGTCTGTTAAAAAGGAAGCTGGACAACTGCCTGCTGCAAATAGGTTCTTGAGTAGCAAATGAACACGGTCTTCACCTTGGACGTATCAGGCGCTTAAAATGACCGCACCGGAATACATCAGTTTGATGGTAACAGGACTGCTTCCAAACTAAAAGGCTTTCAATCTATTTTGAAGCAAGGGGGAAAAAAGGATTTGCCAAATGGGGATAAAAACCCAAACGTACCACATACATCCCCCCTAGTCTTCAGCCCCTTGATGAGTATGTGCAATTATGGACACTGGTTCTAATGAGAATCTCCTGGTGCAGAAAACCAGTTTCACAACAGGTTAATGAGCAGGAATGTTCCCAGGATGAGGTGACGGTGGAAAAGGATCTCCTCTAGCCATCTGTCAAGTGCAGTGATGCTGTAAGGTTCCTTTTAGATTGTTTATATAGAGTTCTATGGTGTGGCAATGTAAGTAGGGTTTGTTTACATAGGCTTTTACCAATGTACCATGGTTGATGAAGCCATGCCAGTCCCTGGGCCATTCAAGGCCAAGCAGGGCAGTGGATTTCAGCTTCTGAGGCTCCTTGTGTTGCATCCTAAAGTGTGTCTGTTTTCAATGATTTGAAGAAAGCAGTCTGCTAACCAGAGAAGTACTGATTCATCCAAGGAGCTGAACTCTTGCAAGGCACAAAGGAATTGGCTGATCTAAAAAGTTATTTTAGCATTTTCAATTATTTCATGTCAATATAACTAATTATGAGTAAGCTGTGTCTTACCTAAGATTTTTCAATGGAAATCTTACAAAAGTTTGTTTTGTTTTGTTTTTTGCTAAGAGTGTATTTGGAGAGTAAGTGTGAATTTCACCTTCTAGTCTGTTTTTGTTTGCAGCACAGATGATGTGTATCAGAGACCATTAATTTGGCACAAGCAGGCTCCGGAATAAACTAAAATGTGTAATTTACCAGCACTGTTGGGTGGCATTACCTGTGTGTTTTGGCGGGGGCACGGTAATTAAGCAGTACTATCTGTCTGCCAGGGAGGGGAGTAAACTTTTTATATAACACTAAACTTAAAAAACTTAAAAAAGATGATCCCTCAATATCATACTGCCAGTATGTGAAATACACACACATTTCTCTGTTTCCGTATCATTTAGGGCATGGACAGCAAAATGTAACCCCCTCTAAAAAAGATCAGTTTAAATTAAAATCAATTAAAACAATTAAAAATTAATCCCATAATAACATGGTAAACAACTCAAATGGCTTTTTCTTTTTAATGCTAGGAAAAATGTTCACCTTTCAATGGTGAAAGTACTGTTAACACAGGTAGAGAGCAAACAAGGTAAAAAGTGAAAGCACATACAGACAACACACAAATATATATATAAAAATTGACCAGAAATCACAGGACATTTAAGCAATGTTTTCTTAAGTAGAACTATTTTTTTTTTTTTTGTACTTTAAATAGACTAAAATATTTGGTGTGGGCGGGGGGAAGGAAATCAGTATTTCGCAATTTTAACTTGAAAACCAGCTGCAATAAAGCCTCAGCTCATCGTTTAAAAAAAAAAAGTGGAACCACGTCGTACTTTTGACAACCACAGGATTAAAGCTTACAAAGAACACATCTACCGTCTACATCACAGTGCACAGAGGATGCAGGCTCTGAGGACCACAGGCAAACAACAACAGACTCTGCATCCGGCATATTGCATTACAGAATTAATGCTCTATTAGAAAAATCTCACCTCCCGGGGTTGGTGTCCTAGCTGGTAAGCACCTGAGGGGTCGGGGGCCACCAAAACTGAGGGCACTGCTCAGTCTGGATCAGGACACCCAATTCCTTCACCTGCCATTGGCTGATGCATTCGGTAATCTCGATACAACATTCACTGAGAATAAACACTACATTCTGGCTTCCTGAGCAGGACAGTCTGGGGAATGTAGCAGAGGACAGAGCATGAAAGGCCAGATCTTCCCTCAAGCGAAAAGAAATCCACAATACCACTCAGTTTTCGCTTACTGTTAAAAAGTCAAACTTCAGATGAGATTTAACCCCATCAAGACATGATTTGTACTTCCATACACACACAAGTTCTGAAGAACTTCGCTATCTAGTTGCCTCTTCTCTGTTTCATTAAAGCCCCGGTTACCTTCCCTGGATTCCTAAGTGTTTGTCTTACCACCACATTGGGTCCACAGCAGTTATTGGTTACGAATCTCACATTCCACCCACAGTAATAAGTGATTGGAGGACGCCTATCCAAATATTGGAAATGTTGACAACCCGAACACAGCTGAACGTAATTCCAACGATTACAACGTTTAAGGGAGTAAGGGTCAATCACAAAAACACCTAGGGTGACCCTTCCTCCCGGTGTGCCCAGGACTTCTCCTGGTTTGGAACAAAAAGTCCTGCAGCCAGGGAATGTCTCAGTCCCAAGCACCCCGGGGCCGTCGGTCACCTTGGGCGCACCACTCACTCTTCCCTTAGGATCACTAGGGAAAAGAATTCTCAAGAGCAGAAAGCTACCTATGCGGGCATCAGCTCAAAAAAATTTTTGAGGACATACTAATGGCTAGCTCCTAGGAAGTCCACTCATACCTTATTTAACGGTGTCGATTTTAATAGTCGGTAGTACCCTAAACAAATGACTGATCAGTGTATATAAAAGTTCATTCTTGAAACCTGTTTTCAGACAAATCCTCTAAAGGTCCTTCTGGTTTTGTCCAGTTATATAGTATTTCACTGAATCTTTTTGAGATTTTCAGAGCTAAATGAATAAATCAGTTTTATATGTCTTTTCTCTTTTTTTAGGTGAAAACACTCTTTGCCAAGTATTTCCCACATTCTTGCTTCATATACTGAAAAGACTGCCAACTGGAGATATTCCCCTCAGACTATAAAGGCCCTGAATTGTTACTTTTAACAGCGTTCTGCCAGCAGGTCTGGCCTTGGGAAGAGATGGCAAAGAGTATTCTCAGATATGAACACTTTTATTTTGCCTACAATGCTGTGATCTAGTTCAACAACTGCACAACTGCTTTCATCTTACCCTTTAGTTTTTCTTGTTTTGCCCTCTTGTATAAAAATGGTTAGTGTCACAGCTTCACTATCACTAATAAAAAGATACAAATATTTATGCCTTAAAGGTCAGGGTCAGAAAACCAAAAATGAAGCCTGAGGTAAAGTTGGTCTAAAAGTGACCAATTTGGGTTCTGCATTTTGCCAGAAACAGGATTAAAAAAAAAACCAAAAACAAAAAAACTTATTTCCATGCAGGTTACCGACTTGCTACATATGTGATTATTTCCCCCAATTTTCATTAATCTGTATGTATATTAGTTACATAAACCAAAAAATGACTACATTCTTAAAGCAGGTACATACACTCACCAGAAAAGCACCCTATTCTTTCTCACCAATGTATCTTTTTTGTTTGAATAATCCAAGAATGTGAATGATGAGACTGACATATCTCTTAAGGGACTTACTGAAAAAAGGAAAATCTCTTTGGGAGAAAAGACTTTAGTAAGACTTCTATCCCTACAGACAGATGCTGAGAATCAACTTGCTGCTACGGCATTGTAAAGGGTAGAACTTAATATAGAACCAGAAATGTGGCAAGTTATCTAGTGACTAACAGCATAAAATAGCCAAGAGCTTTAAAGCCACAGAGAGAAAGAAGAAAAGTGGAGTGTGAGATGGAAAATACATAGTGAAGTATTTTTAGAATTCTAAAATTTCACTTTCGTCCTTTTATCAATATATTATGGATTTCATGGTTCAATAAATTATCTTTAATTGGAAGTAGGAAGTAAATGCCTAACCCCCCACCCAAAAGAGCAAACTGAAAATGCTGGAGAAACTAAGAGCTTTTTTATTCTTTCCTCTTTTTTTGGAGGGTAGGACATCATTTTCCAGGAACTGTTTTGAAGAGAAATCTAAAAGTCCTTTGTCTGATATTCAGGAATCCTTCTCACTGCCATTAGCCATCAGCATTATTCTTCCAAGGGCCCTTACATCTCAACCAGTGGCTGAAATTTGAGGTCTATTATGGATCTCATGGCAGCAAACCAATCGATGCTGAAGTTAACCTAGGCTAACACACTCTGGTCAGATCCTCTGTGAATCAGAGATGACCCAAAGAACTTTGGGAAATCCATTTCTGTTGAGTACAGCTAAGAAAATTAGATCTGAACCACCTTCGGCCAAAACTACAGGAGAACTTGACTTGGCGGTGCTACTTCCCGCAGTATCTTAAGCAGCTTAGCAATCTTAAACCAAGAGGAAAAGAACAGGGAGAGGCAATCCAACATTTAAAAAAAAAAAAAGTTAATGCTAAACTAGTACCTTCCAGAGACCACTGGATATATAATAATTTAATGAGTGGGTGTCTGTTGCCGTTTTGATGTTCATGAATTCCAGTTATGATTCTTAATTATCAAGCTGCCTAAAAATGGCATACTAACTAAACCACCAAATCACGACTCTGGCAGAATAAATAAATTACTCTGTGAAGATCTGAAAGGAAAACGTCTGCAAGCATATTAGGAAACTTTTACTGAGATCAGAGATTTAAACAACAGAACCATTCAACGGTGTTAAAATGTAAGCAGATAAATGACCCCTACTGTTCAGGTTTTTCTAGGAGTGTGTATGTATACATAAATCCATACACATGTTATACAATTTATTTCCTACTAAAAAGATTTAAGGCAGTTATGCTATATATAAAGTTACCTATAATATCCAAGAAATTACATGAACACATTAGACAAGATATCATAAAGGCTATTATGAGGCTGTCTGTCTCTAGTATACCTGACATTTCCTGGTTGAGGCTCCAAACACAGGAATTCCACTCCAAGAGATGATTTGTCCCTCAATCCCCACGCATAAAAGGTAGTCTGAACGGATAAAATATTCATGAAAACTTGAAAAGGAAGATATAAAAGGAACTCAACAGTAGGATTCTGACTACCTCTAGAGACCACTCACTACCTTCATTACTCTTGATTGTACTAAATACAACAATCCAATATGCTCCAAGGTGGAAATGGGCTAGTATTATAGGAAAATCATTAGCTGCAACTGCTGGAAAAGTTCCTAATCCTAAACATAACTTAAAATACAATCTATAATTCATGCCCTTTGTTAGTCACAAAGACATTTAACTGGAGGGAATTTCTGAGCCATTTGTAAGATTTAAGTGACTGACCAAGTGGAACAACATCTACCTTCATGGTGAAGAAATTAGGACCCTGGGTATGAAAAGCACCATCCTTTTTGGTTTTTAGTAAAGTTCAATGGAGAGAAACATTCTGATGTCTGCAGATAAAACATGGTTGGCAAGGAAGAGGGCAACCAGCAAGACCACAAGGGATACAGTCTGTTATGAGAAGGGGAGGAAGAATACAGTTCAGTTGATGAAGATCAAGAATTTAGCAAAGTAAAGCTCATGAAGCAAAGAAACTGGGCAATAATTTGTCATGTCTGAACCATCGATGAGTTAGAGCAGAGTAAGAGAAAAGATCATGTGTTGCTTATGTCCACAGACTACCTAGTTATCTAAAGAGATACAGGAGAAATGGTGTGGAAGGGGGGCAGTCTGTGAAATTATCATGTGCAGCTACGAAAGTATCTGAACATAAAGACAAATTTTAAGTAAGGTGAACATTTTCTGTGTTACTTTATAACTCACCATCAACCAGACCAGGAGAGTACTGAGTACTGAATAAATGCTCAAGTGTTTAATTATTAAATAATAATTAAAAAAAGACAAAGATCTTCAAGGTATATTTGGACAGCTTTCGGAAGAGGTAGAGAAACCAACTGGGCATATATAATCTTTTACTTGATTTCAATTAGCAAGAGACCAGACTGATTGTTTTTCACCTTCAAAGTCTTAGTCTTGATTGAAACCAACCTAAAAGGCACAAATAAATTGAAATTAAAATTATTTTGACAAAGGAGGAAAATCTGGTAAGTTCGAAGGCAGATGAATCAAGCAAAACTGATATGGTTTAAGGTTAAGAAAAATGCTAGATATTAAACAATTTGCAATTATGTACTTAGAATAAGAGTACCGAATAAGAATATTTTTTCAAGAAAAATTAGGGAGATTTCCTTCTGGCAGAGTGAAAGGTCCTGAGAAAGGAGTAACCCCACAGCTTGAGGGCCAGGACTAAATCCTAGCCATCTTTTCATTACTCAGCACCTAGCACTGTGGCTGGGTAAAGGGCAGACATCAATAAATGTTTACTGAATGAATGGATGACATAATGTATAATTAGTATAACTGGTCTAGGTCGAACCTCATCAGGAAGGTTCCCTGAAGCAGGAGAAAAGAACACAAGCAGGGTTGTTCCAAAAGGTGGGCCAAAGTCCACTCATGTGTTTTAATCCTGAACAGTGCTTACACAGACTTTTCAAACTTTTTTTTTTAAGCCGTAAAACTCTTTTTTAAAAAGAAATCTATATAAATTCCATTACAGAATAAAAACGAAGCTGCCACTGGTTAAACCAAAGTCCATGGGAACGTCACCAGCCTCCGATTCCCTACGGCGGCTCTCAACGGACTTGACTGCAAACCACCGTCCATCTTAGAAATGTGATGGAAAAACGTGTTCACTCAGTTCTCACGTGAAACGTGAAAGTTACCAGCCCGGTGGAGGGGGAATTCTGCATAATGCTGCTCATTTAAATAGAGACAAAATTCAACATGGAGAACTTATCACTCAGAAGAATGAAAACAACCCCAATAAAGGTGGGGGGGGAGGGGAATCAACAAAATTTAAGCTGCAGTAGACAAAATAGAATGCAAGAAATAGCGTCTCCTAAAAAAGGCATGTAAGATTACTGAACACCAGTGGAGTCAACTGCTGGACAGGTGTTAAGTGCTCAGTAGAACAGGTATTTCCAAAGAGCTGAGTCCCAGTTTAATACTGTAGGGATGAAGCCCAACACAGTTGTAGGGGCATACTCACCGCTGGAATGCTGTCCTCGGCACTGCTTCGCTAAACACCTCCATCCAAGACTGACTAACTGCCAGGCCCTTCTGCCACTTTCAGAGTTTTCTCCGCCCCCAGCACTGTTCCCTGACATCACTGCAAGTTCTCGAGGAAGTTAAAGCCTTCCAAAGGGCAGAGGCTGCACTGGCTCTCTCCAGCCGGTCTGACAGTAGTCATCCGTGGGACACAGGAAGCCATCTATCACGAAGTAAGGCCACCCTCAACTATTACATATTATAGAACCCTTCTGGTCCCCAAGTTTGGATCTGGGCAGAGACTTCTGTGTAAGCATGAAGACCTAATAGCGAGTTTCCTTCACAATGAACCTTGGCATTTGATGCCTTTCTCCTTGCCGGGAGTGCCAATCTCCCAGGCTCTCCCCATGGCCTGCTCCCCTTCTCACGTCAAATGTCAGCTCAAGCATCACTTCCTTAGAGAAGCCTTCCCTGCTATGCTCCACCACAGTCCCCTGCTTATCTCCTTCACAGACAAGTGAGCTGATTAAGGGTTATAGTAACTGATGTCTCAGCCATGGCCGAAACCGGATCGAACTTGTTCACCTTTACCCAAAGTAAAGAAAGTTCCTGGCGCACACAAACAGGTGAACAGTAACTATTTGTTGAAAGAATAAAAAATTACTATACCAAGTCTGCATGACCACATACATGTACACACAAATATAGGAAAATGGGGGGATACCTAGTAGAAAACAATCAAATGCTGAGAGTATTGAAAATGATACAGTAGAGACAGCTGAATATGGTTTCAAAGAACAAGTACCAAAGGTATCTATCTCCAAAAATCTGAAAATTTACTAGGAGGGGGTCAGGAGTGGCTATTTCCCTTTTCTCAAGAGATGCAAACAAGAGCTATTTAAACGGCAGAGTCAACATCAGACATAAGGATTATTTGCCACCGAATGGACTACCAACAGAGCTTCTGGAATCTCCTCTAGCCACAGAGCATAAAATGTCATTGGTTATAATAGTCAACCACACATTCAGGATTAGTTAAGAACAGCTCAGACTGTAGGTAATTATAGGCTAAAAAACTTGCTCAACTCCTTCTCCCCCAATGTTTAAAATTCTGAATTCATAATTATGTAAAATAACATAGATTTTACAAATTTAATACAACATACTTTACAAACAGATGGCCCTTATCTGCTGATCATACCTCAGCATCACTTTTGTAGGTATTCTGCAGAAGCAATTACATTTACAAAAGGTCCATTTCATAATACAATCCGGTAATGAAATCAAATGAAAACTCAGAGAGCACTAGGTCTGCTATTGAAATATTTTAAAATAGCTTTTAAAAAAGAGTGTTTATATCTATAGATTGGCTTTAAAAAAAGGATAAATATACTGAAGTAATTGTATCATTTCCCTGAAAATAATTATACTGCCATTTGTGTTTTGATGAGGTGTCAGGATAAATTGACAAGACTGCTTGGTTACACAAGTCTATTACTATCCGTTGAAATCTGATGTGAGACAAAGGGACTTACCCCTGAATGAACTCGTACTGTGCCCCAGAACTAACTGCTGCTGGCACTATCCGAGCCACCATGACTAGTGATGGATGTCATGCTACACAGTTTTGATATCAGGGCAAAAGTGGGAATGGAGAAGAGGTCTGGAAAGATTTTCTGCAAAGTTTCCATCTAGTGAGATTTAGCAGTAAATAACACAAAATGAATGTTTAAGACCCACTGAACACATTAAGGTCAAGGATTTCAAAAGTTAATCCACTTTTCTTCCCCCAAGGGTTTATTTTTGGTAAAAGGCAGAAAAATTAGTTTTTCTACAAGGGAAATCTGCTTCTAAATGATAATTTGAAAATCTTGATATATATTATATATTAAAAAAGACGCACAAAAATAACGGAGAAGTGGGAATAACAGATTAGGTACTGTAACTTTATAAAGGCTTGCCTAAATCAAGAAGCAGCACACACACACCTAATTTATGCGAACTAAAAATGTATATAAACAGCACAATACTGTGATACTGGATCCTGATACATTACCTGTACACATAACTACTACTGTTATTAATAAACCTTTGGGACACTCAGTTTTATGCCCAACAAGACATCAGTGAAGTCTTTAAAATCTTCTCTTTCTGCTGTATGGGAGGGTATTTCTAGACACTAATTTTCCCATCTAATATTCGAATATAGGAAACTGATTCCACAAGGTGCTTTAATTGATGAGACCTCAAGTGCTGTTTTCTCTCTTGAATTTTTGGACAGTAAACAGTCCATGGGGACCACACACAAATACTATGACAGAAGAGTTGTTACATTAAGTCTTTTGATGGGACTTGAGTGGTGACGAAGCTTTATGACATGCTCGAGCAACGCACTGAAGGGGATCCCATCTGAGTTAATACTTTGTCCAACCACTGTAGAGGTCCATTCAGATGAAGCTCAATCCAGCAAGGAGTGCTCGTTACCGTCTGCCTTCTATTTAAAAGAATACAAGAAAAGAATTATGAAATTAAAAGACCATGGCGATGTTTAGCGACATGCATTAAGAATTTAGATAAATTAAAAGGCTGTATATACTAAAACCAACATTCTTTTGAACAAGTATTAAGTCAGGATAGCTATTACTTTGAAAACTATTTAATCCTCAAAGTCTAACAAAATATTTCTAATGACTTTTTTTTTTTTTTTGCTTTTAAAGAAATTAACAAAAACATTCTCTTCTCCTCAAATTAAAATTAGGAGGGTGACCTGGCTACTTACCATCCAAACTTGACACACCTTTAAGCGTGAAGAGAGTCACTACTGATAATCAGGCTAGGACAAGACTCAAACCAGGACTGTCCTAAGCAAACCGGCAGATACAGTCACCCTACTTACTAATCAACCACAGAGCAGAGGATACTCAAATACCAAGTAAAGTCTAAATGGAACAGGGTTCAAATTTCAAGCATACCAAAAAAAAAGAATTCTGACCGAAGCTTATCACAGAATGTTCAGAGCTACAGTTCGGCTTTCCCTGACTAAGCCAATGAGCAACATCCCCGGCTTTTAATAAGAAACACCTCTAGTACTTCGACATAATGTGACTGTGGGAACTATAAACTGTTCAATGACATCCTGTCACTTGCACGTACTGATCTGCGTTCTGCCTTATTACATACAGTAAGTCGGTGAGTCAGCTTGCTTCTTCAGTGTGACAGCCCTTCAAGCAGGAGAAAAGGCCATTATCAACTCTTCATCTCCAAGTGACACATGTTCAATAAAATCTAAAACTGTATTTCAAAGGATGTGGTTTTCTCTAGTCAGCGCCCCACTATACCCTTCAGAGTTTTCAGTGTTCTCTAGCCAACTTCCAATGGTGCGTGTCTGACTTTCTGTGCCTGAGAACTTCTCTGCTCTGGCCACGTGTGCAGCAGACTACAAGTGCTAGGAAATGAAGCTCCCCGGTAGCAGCCCCCACCCAATGACACGGGAACTGGCATTTAAATGCCCAGTTTCCTTTCCTTCTGGGTGGGAGAATTCTGCATGTTCGTTACTGTTTCCCATGTTTTCTTAGGGGAATAGCTCTAATGACCCACCCAATACAGCAGATGGCTTAATAATGCTTTTGGCTGCCTTCCCTCCCCTACCTCACTTCCCTACTTCCTCCTTCCTTACCAGTGCTTCCTCCATTTCCTGAATAAACTCCTTGCATTTGAATCCTTGTCTCAGGGTCTGAGACATACACTGTGAGACATGCTGATATGCGATCATTTCTAAAACATGATACGTGGAACATAAAAGCACAACCTCAAATCTGACCCGCACAAACTCACTACCTTATTTTGATTTAGATAGTACACTTTGGTTTATGCAGCTTAAAATTGCACCAGCACATTTCCCAAGTTAACTCACATCATCCAGGAGGCAGAGGCAAGACTGACCCTTATCCATCTTCCCCTCCTCTGTTCGTCCTGTTGCTCCTCAGAGAAAGTTCCTCCTGCCTTCTAGCTCTCCCTCAGATCAGGCCTTCTGCGGGCTTTTGCCAAGATCGCTTTTAATTCTGATTCTGTCATTTGCTGAATTCTGCGTAGTTCTCAGTTTGTCTTCAATCAGATCATTTACTACTAGATTAGCTGAATCTTCAGGACTAATTCTTAATCCAGGCCACTGAACAGGGGAGTAGGTTTCAGAAGGCTGTCACTCTTTTTATTTGGGCACACAAATGCACCCGAGACATTATTTATCCCCTACCTATTTACTCATTTCAGTACTGACTCACTTAACTCAGGTATCTTTCTCACTTAAATATAAATTCTTGCACATCTATATTTCCTGTTTACTACATTTCCTGATCTTTATATTGGCAAACATGCTGGTATTACAGAAACTGAAAAATAGTTTTAGAAATCTACCCATTAGCTCTACCTCCTCAGCTCCAGTGTCATTAAGGACAAAAGGTTCCTGGCAACCACCAAGAGTTCACAGATCTAGAAGTACCTGACATTATTCAGATCTGTAAATGTTAAAGGAAACTAGTTTATTACCCAAAGTAGATATATCTCTAACTCTGTATACCAATAAAAACATATTGTATATTACTGCTTCTCATAATTACAGATTTTAAATTCTCTCTGGCTTTAAGAATGGCAGAGTCCGCAGTGCACGAAGGGCAGCACTTCTCTCCACCAATTAAAACTGTCCTTAGCAGGAGAGCTACAAACAGACGTGGAATTCTCCCCGCAGTTCATGTTTAATTGCACTAAATTTCTACTACCATGTTCTGTAATATTCTCATCTCGTGAAGAAAAAAAAAAAACGTGTGACCTAAACGCCTGGTATCAGATAGTACCATTTGAATCTAATTTTTAATATCAACTCAGGCCAATTCAAGTCCACGGCAAAAAGCAACTCTGCATTCTTTAAAGGCATCATACCTCAAAAGGGAAATGATTAAATGAATTATTCTACTAATGTAACATCTATATTCTTGTAACTTGGACAAAATAATGACAAGTCTTCAATCTAGGATAAAAATATGTAATACAATATATATTTTTATAAAAGTATTCAACCAGCAGACCTCAAGTCTCACCCTCTCAAGAGGCACACACCTCCCAAAATTTGTTGAAGACAGAAAATCGAGTCCAAATGAAATGAAATACATTCTGAAGGGCCCAAACTGCCAGATGAAAGAGGAATACTATTGCTCTGCCTTCATATGCAGCAGGTGCCCAGAGAGTAGCAGTATGAGCTGGAGAAGGACTAAGTATTTTATTTATAGTTCTGGCCTTAAAGATGCTAAGGAAGTCTTCCCTTTCTCTGATGTGGAATCCAATCCATTGTTTAATATGGCACTAACCTAACCTATCTTATCCCCTGATGACAAATTAGCTTCTGTAGAACTCAATTATGTAACTGTTACTACTATCCTTGGAGAGGGTGTTAAGAGTCAAGGAGAGCTTTCTTCAAGTCCCAACCCCACCACTCACGAAGTGTCCTTGGGCAAATTATCAAATCTTTTCTAAGCCTATTTCCAAATAAGTATTAGTTTGAACCATTTTTTGCAACCGTATAAAAAAAGAGAGCACAGAAACAGTAATTCTTAGCCAGGCTGAAATGCACGATGTACTGCATTGAAAACACGGCCCACTGCCTGACGCGGGACGAGTACGCCCCTCTATCTACCTCTCAACCTTATAGTCAGCTGGTCTCAACTCAGCTGTCCAGCCGTATTCTTCTTTCCCTTCTGAGCTCCAGTCAAACTGAACTGCATTCTCGTGTTAGGATGGTAGCTTCCCAACCCCTCCTGCCTAACTGAAATGCCACGCATCTTTCAGAACCTAGATCGTGTGCCGTCTCTACCAGAAGCCTTCCCAGAGCCCCAGTGAAGATGTCTCTCCTTGCATGAACTGACATACGCCTTCAAATATACCCCTTTGATGGTATTTCACACCCTATATTACGTTTCAGTAATGCGCGTCTGAACAGGTCTTAAATCTGCCTTCCTCAATGCCAGCCCAGGCATTTGCAGGAGTTGTGAGTGCGGAGACCTCCAACTCCCTTTTGTTATTTTGCATAAGCTCTGCTGACTCCATAACCTTAAGGAAAACAGATACATGGGAACTTCAGGAGATGGAAAGAACTGAAGAAAAAAGAATTACACTGTGGAAATTTAAGAACTGAATATGTATTTCATACCGGTATTCTGCTCCCCACCCTTTCACAAAACTCATTCTTATGGTGCACATTCTAGTTAGCTGATACACGGCTTCAAAACCCTGATTAACAGACTGAGCCAGAAGAGCAGCAAATTCCTGGTTGTTGAAGATCTTCAGATTACAGCCTATGATTGAAAAAAGTAAAAACTGTGTAAAAAGAATATCATTGTAAGGCAGTAATTTTTAAAGGGCAACAGATCTTAAAAAATGAGCATGCAAATCATCCCCCGATTCCTAAAATTAACTGCAACTAGAAAAGCTCAGCAAGTTGACAGGATGGGTCGACTGACACTGGTGTATCCATACCTGGTGGAATTTTACACACTGTTGCGGGGTGCCACCCGTATCTCTGATTGCAGTTGGGGCTCTGCACAAAGATTGCACTATCACTTAGGCACTCAGCAAAAACTTCTCCACCTATGTAATATAAGCGCACTCCTCTCCCTAAAACAAAATACATACGGGATTAGTTTTATAACATTTCCTGTTTCAGCATGACTTTGGAAGAGTCTCTTCTTGGACGAGTATTAAAATGATGGAAGCTATTTTGATAACCCTTCCCACAGCGATGCTTTTCTGAAGCCTAACTGTGAAACACACCACTCTATATTTTTCCAAGTATTTTTTAACAAAGATTTTATTGATTTCCAAATATAACACATGCTTATCAAAAGTATTTTGACAATGCAGAAAAGTACACAGCTAGTAAAATAATTTCATACAAATTATGTAGTATTTTAAAATAAGTAAAAGAAATTGAGTTAAGTTTAAAGGAATTAACTCTTTGGGTAAATATGCCTTCACTATAATAAATACTATTTCCTTAACAATCCCACTAAGGTTAAGAAAAAAAGCAAATAAAAATCAAGACACTGGAATCATTTGCCCTTTTTAAAATTACATATTAAGGTGACAACTAAATCCCTAGACAGATAAGCAGAATTAGGTAAGGAAAGAATAAGCTGGAAGATTTTAACAGACTTCTTTCAGAATCTAACAAATCAAATACATACAAAATATTAGAGACAAAAGGATTTAAAAAAGCCAACCATGAAAGGCAGAGATCTAAGACAGCACCTAAGGTTCTCACCCCTGGTGTGTATACATCTCTATTAGTCAGTCAAGCATGAATCCAGGTGCCACAGTTAAGGAGTTTTTCCAGATGTAATTAAGATCTCAAATCAGCTGACCTCAAGAAGAGGCGATTCTCTCTTGGTGGGCCTGACTTAATCAGGTGATATCCCTTAGAAAGGACTGGGCTGTCCCTGGTGAAGGCGGATTCAAAATGTGAGCGAGCGGGTTCAACAGCAGAGATTCTCCGTGGCTCACTGTGAAGACTGAGGGTCCATAGGGCAAGGAATGCTGGTGGCCTCTAGCTGCTGAGAACAGCTTCTAGCGGCCAGGCTGCAGGAAATGAGGCCCTTGGGGCTACAACTTCAGGGAAGTGGACTCTGCAACAATCATGAGCTCAGAAGAGGACCTCAAGCTCCAGACGAGAACACGGCCCAGTCCACACCACGGTCTCCCTTTCTGAGACCCGGAGAAGACTCCTAACCCATGCCTGGACTCCTGACCCGCAGCAACTGTGATATCACAACTTTGTGTAGTTTCAGGCTGGTAAGTGTGTGGGAACGTGTTATGCGACACAAGAAAACTAACCTACAATCCAGATTTAACACATAAACACAGAACCTGACACCCACCTCTCCTGACCACAGACTATTGTAAAACCACCAAACATGTCCTTGACCATCAGGAAAAGATTAAATCCAAACAGGAGAGATTTTCCAGGCTATAGTCTCTGATCAAAACCACCCGATAAGTTGGAAATCAAAAGTAAAAAGACAATCCAAGAATTACAGCAATCTAAGATTGTGTAGAGAAGTATATATGGAAGAGAAAACTTTCTGTTATCTGTATGCAGAAGCCCAATTAAAACACAGGCAGAAACAGAACTATTTTAGTTAAGGGTCGGGTGAGTATTCGGAAGCCCTCCTTACCCACAAGACACCTAAGATTACATAAAATTTACACACCACACAAGATCTGAGAAATTCCACACAGAGCCACATCACAGCCCTGCGTAGAATCACACTTGCTGTTTAGTGACCAGCATTATTTCTCACAAGAAGCGATGGTTAATTCATCAGAAACAGAAGCAAACCACTGTTAAAAGAGGTTCCTTTAAGGTAATGAGAACTATGTTCAGTTATATTAGTGGCACTCAAACTTTTTTTTTACCTCACTGCCAAAAAAATACTGGAGACCCCAAAGAGTCGCTGTTTATGTGGATTGCATCTATGGAAACTTACCACACTTGATATTAAAACTGAGATTCAAAAAAAATGTATTAATTCATTTAGAAATCTAAATAATAAACCTATTACATATTCACGTAAATAACATGGTTATGAAAAATAACAATTTCCCCCCCCCAAAACTAGTGAGAATAGCAATGCTTTACATTTTTGCAACTCTAATGCCTGGCTTAACAGAAGAGAGTTGGATTCTCGGCAGATCCTACATGTAGTCGCTTGCAAAATCACGTCTTGTAGCTTCTGGAATATTTCACTGTACATTCACGAGTGAATGAGAGTGAAAAAGGCTAATAGGATCTTAGTAGCATTATGAAAATAGTTTTGACCTCACAAACGTGCTAAAAGGATATTGGGACTACTACCTTTTGAGATCCCCTGATTTATTTTTTCGACTATGTATTAAATAGCAGTTCTTGTTTAAAATCTCTTGCTTCAGATTAATGGTGAGCGGATTTGATTACTTAATATATGAACTCACGGGAGGGAGAAATACTAGGAGATGTCAACAAGCTGAAAAAAAAAGTCATGATTTGTTAAAATTATTATTCTGAAATCTGAACACGACAATCCTACGACTGGTAGAGACTCAGCAAAGTAATTTTAACACCTTTTTTTTAATTGACGGACCTCCCAGTATCAAGGGTGCCAAATACAGAGAAGCCAGCGGCAAGAGTGGGATCTGTGAAAGCAGCGAAGCCGTGCACGGACAATGACAGACGAGGCAGGCGACTGCACACAAGCCCTTGATGCGGTAAACCACACGGTGCTCCCACTATGAGTATGCGGCATCGGTTCTTCACACAAGGGAAAAACACATACCTATATGTCTTCTTGTCATTTCTACAGTCGCGTTTCGGTTGACGTTGGAGAGCAACCCTAGGCAGAACCTCTCTGAATTGGATGGATCTGTGAAACCGTCTACAGTGAGTGAGGGCTGTGACGCGTGGAAGGTCTCGCCGACCCTCTGGTTTAATTCATAGTATGCTATTGAACACCAAAATGCAGGTTCTGAGTAAGTAACTGGCTGCAAATCTGGGGAAAAAAACCAAACCCATAAAAGCAAGAAATGTTGTGTGAACAGTTCAAGCCAAGAAGAGACTGAATATCATCAGCTATCTGTACGTGCTCTACCCCAGACTCCCCTGGCTACTGCTCAGGAAGCTGACTTAACATCTACACCACAAACTCCGGTCTCCATTAGATCATACCAGATTTCCAATGTTTCAGATTTCCCCCAACTCATACAGTCATCTAATCTTCAAACATCTTCTTTAGACTTTACGGTGGCTCATGTTCTACTAGTAGTTTTATCCAAGTTCATGTTCAAATATAAAACCATCGCAGGCAAAGTACATCAACTTGCATAATAAAACTAATTTTGGGGTAGGATGAAGTGGAAGAAAGCTGGAGCAAGGACTGGACTTAAAAGCCAAAAGATAGAAGAAAAATTCTATCATAATAATAGGATACAAAATACGACATATTTTTGACACTGTCTATTTTAACAGGAGATTCTCCGTGAGTTACCCTAGTTACAAAAATAGAAAACCCACGCATACACAAGGAACAGAAAGTAATAAAACACAAAAAGCATGCAAGTGAAAACAGAATACGGAATCAAAAGAATTTACATATTTAATGGGATAACTAGGGCCACATGAATTTAACTTCTATAATTTTGATTAAAAGACACAAGGAGGGGTGCCTGGGTGGCTCAGTCAGTTAAGCGTCTGCCTTCTCAGCTGGGAACCTGCTTCTCCCTCTGCCCCTCTTGTGCTCTCTCTCTCTCCAATAAATAAATAAAATCTTTAAAAAAAAGACATAAGGAATATCATGAAAAATATGAAAATTTTTCCTAATGTGTGTAGAAACCGAAGAGACATTGTGAAATACTGAGGTAAACTGAAGGCCAAGAATTAACTACACAACGTACACACGTACACACACACACACACCTCTCCCATCCCCCATACACATGTGTGTGTATACATACATATACACATATATAGATATACACTTCATATTAATAACTGCTATTACAAAATACATCCTAAAATAAACATACCCATATAAATCTAGCCATAATAGGTCGTAACACTTTCCATGAAGAATATGATTTCCACGAATAGAAAGATTAGGTCTGTATGCTCATCTATGCCAGGAGAAAACAGTTTTAATAATATTAAGGCAAATTACCATTTTTAAAAAGCACAAATTTGAACAATCATTTGATTATTCATTGGGATCCGCTTCTCATATATATGAAAAGTAATTATCAGAGAAGACATATAATTTACTCACATAGTGTAAACCGGTGGGGGGAAAGAATTTGCAACTTACCCAAACTATGATTAACGGGGGAAAGAGTAGTAGGAGATAGTTCTGCTGGAGATCCTGAAACAAAAGGATTCGATCTTATAATAGATGTGCAAGTATTTCCAGAACTTCTGACCAAATAATAAATAAATGAATAAAATGAGGATACATCTGGTTGTAATTAATGATCACAAATAATACAGATAAGTTACATCCTAAGAATTCAAAATACGCAAGTGCTATATGGGAATTTAATTTTGAAGGTTTTAGTATATACAAGGTACAAAAGAATATAAACAGTCCTGGCTTCTAGCCACCCAGTTCCCCTTCCCAAAGGCATCCAGTGTTGCCAGTTCTTTGTGTACTCTTCCAGAAATATTCTATGAACCACACAAGCAAATGTATTTTTCTGTACTCCCCCACCTTGCTTTTTATATACAAATAGTAACCGTTCTGAACTTTGCTTTTATTCTACTTACTGATTCAGGAATGCTGATGTGTCCTTATTTCTCTCTCCCTCTCTATATTAGCCACATAAGCTTAAATTATGGTGTATTATGATCCTATATTGATAGATACTCAAGACTATTTTCAATCTTCTGCTTTATGAACCAAGATTGCAATGACTAATCTTGTACATTTTGCATACTTTCAATCCTATCATTCTCTTAACAGAGAAACCGCCAGGTCCAAGGGCTATACAACCGTGATTTTGATAGATTTTGCCCAAACTGTCATCTATAGGGGTTGTACCAGTTTACAGTCCCAGTAGCAACTGGTGTTACCAGGATGAATGGTGTTCGCTCATGTGTTAGCACTGATCGGTGAAAACATGGTTTCACAAGTATAGTTTTAATTTGTATTTCACTTATAAATGACATGGAGCAAGCAGCTTTATACTTCTTTATATTGCAGTTCCTTTGTGTGAATAGTCTCTCGGCTCACGTTTCTATAGTGATGTGGATCACTCTTCTCACTGATTTCTAGAAGGCTCTTTATGTACTGGGGCTATTGGTCCTTTCATGTTATGGGTTGTAAATATTTGTTCATCTCTCTTACGACTCTTCGTAATTTTGATTAAGCAGAATTAAAAAAACCTTTCATGTACTTTATCAATCATTTTGGGGTGTCACACTTTGATAAAACGGTCATGACAGCTGGATATTCTTGACTGACTCTGAACTTTAAGGAGATACTTCTAGTGTTTTCCCATTAAGTATGACGTGGATTTGGGGATGAGAGATAAAATTCCTTATTTAGCGTTTTTGCATCAATAATCTCAAACAGGGGTGCCTGGACAGCTCAGTGGGTTAAGCATCTGCCTTTGGCTCAGGTCATGATCCCGGGGTCCTGCGATCAAGACCCGCATCGGGCTCCCTGCTCAGGAGGGAGTCTGCTTCTCCCTCTGCCCCTCCCCCTGCTCATGCTCTCTCTTCTCAAATAAATAAATAAAATCTTAAAAAAAAAAAATCTCAAAATACTGGTCTACAGATTTACACTGTAAGTGCAATGTTACACTGCCTCAAGAAGACAGTCCAGAAGCTTTATGTCTTTTTTATGTTCTGTAACAGTTTGGCACTGTAATAAAACACTTTTTAACAGTTTGGTACAATTCCTGTGCAAAATTGTTTGCAGTGAATAATTTTCTAGGGTTTACCCTAGGACATTGCTCTACTTCTTCTATGAAAGTTCACTGTTAAGATATTTTCTGGAGTCAGTTTTGGTAAATTTTATTTCTTAGAAAATTATCCATTTCTTCCAGTTTTGGGTAAACAGGTTAAACCTAATCAAGAAAATAAGGGGAGGGGGCAGAAATACATAAAATAAGAAAAAAGAACAACCACAAACACAGAGAAAAAATAGAATTATTCAGAGACTACTTCACTCAATTCCATGTAATTAAATTTTAAAACACATTTGTAGCAAATGTTGTTAATTAATGTAATTACAGAATACATTGTTTTCTGATCATCTTTTCTACCTATCTTCGGAAAGTTATGTAAAAAAGCATGCATACTTCAAATATCACAGCAATGGTGTGGCTGTAGACTAAGACAGGTCAGACCCCCACCGCTACCCCCACACTGCAACAACCATGACGTAAAATAGCAGGTGACACAGGTGGAAGGGCAACCCCCAGATAAACAGATGAATCAAAACTACAGAACAGGTGATAATCAGAACAATCTTCCATAAGAAAATTAAGTTCTTTTTTTGTTCTTCAGTTTGAAAAATCTGTTGGCAAGTCACAACAGGTCCAACTGAGAAAGGTCAAAATATATTTAGAACAATGAACTAAAACTCACCATTTCCTGAAGCTGATATAAAATAAACAAAGCTACTGTGAGAAATGGAGGAAACTGCCCAATTATTCACATCTCTTAACTATTGATTCCTCTACTAAATACTTATCACTTCTCAGAAGTGACCAGTTAGAATTACAGATTTAGAAGAATGGTTCATTATAATCACACATAAAATTTTAACAAGTTAAACAATTCATTAGAAACTTTTTTTACAAAGAGGCAAATTAACTGATAACTAACCTATTAGTTACTCATATATTCATGCTGCTCCTGAAGTCTGCAACTTCTGCTTATGAGGAGTAAGAAATACCCTAGTATTCAGGCAGTGGTTACTAGCAGTATTGACAGCCAAAACATCTAGAGGAATCCTTGTGTATTTTTGTATACAAATTTGCATATAGTTGTAGAATACATTTTTCTTTTTTCTTTTTTAAAGATTTTTAAAATTTCTTTGTCAGAGAGAGGGAGAGCTTGTACAAGCAGGGGAAGCGGCAGGCAGAGAGAGAAGCAGGTTCCCCACTGAGCAAGGAGCCCAACACAGGACTTGATCCCAGGACCCTGATGAGCCAAAGGCAGATGCTTAACTGACTGAGCCACCCAGGCATCCCAGGAAACATTTTTCAATGAGGAAACTTTAGGCCAAGGGGAATGTGTAGTAGATTTTTATAACTGCCAAAGTACTTCCCCAAAATGTTTAGTCCCACCAACAATTTATGAGCTAGTGTTTCTTCACACCGTGTCACTAGCTTCTGACATTTGCCCATTTGATTGATAGGGTGAAAGAGACTACTCTGCATTTTTTAATTTTTATTTTTGTTGTAAATAGTACATTCATATAGTTTTTGTCCATTTTTCTATTATTTATTATTTTTCTTCTTAACTTGTAAGTGGTTTTAAATTTTGAAATCAATTAGACTGGCCATTCGTTTGCAAGTATTTCCCCAAGTTTTTGGTTTCTTTTGATATAGCTTTCAAGGGGACATTAAATTTTTTAATCAAACATTACTTTTTAGAGCAGTTTTAGGTTCACAGCGAAAGTGAGCAAAAATTACCAAGACCTCTCATATAGCCATGTACACATACATGTATAATCAATCTCCCCTGCAATGAGTACCTAGCACCACAACGGTTCTTTTGTTGCTATCAAGGAACTGACATCGACACATCATCATCACCCAAAGCCCATAGTTTACATGAGGGTTCATTCTTAGTGTTGTACATTCTATGGGTTTTGACAAACATGTAATAATACCTATTCACCATGTAGTATTATACAAAATAGTTTCACTACCCTAAAAATCCCCCGTGCTCTCCCTATTTATCTCTTCCTCCCCTCTGACCCCTGGGTATCACAGATCTTTTTATTGTGTCTATAGTTTTCCCTTTTCCAGAATGTCATATAGTTGGAATCATAAAGCATGTAGCCTTTACAGACTAGCTTCTTTCACTTGCAATATGCATTTAAGGTTCCTCCACGTCTTTTCATTACTTGGTAGCTCATTTCTTTCTAATGCTGAATAATATTCCCTTCTCTGGAAGTACCACTGTTTATTTATCCACTCACCTACTGAGTGCTTCCAAGTTTTGGCAATTATGAATAAAGCTGCTATACACATCCATGTGCACGCTTCTGTGTGTCCATACATCTTCAACTCATTTGGGTAAACACTATGAGCGTGACTGCTGGATCATACGGTAAGAGTATGTTCAGTTTTGTAAGAAGCTGCCAATGTGTCTTCCAGAGGAACTGTACCATTTTGCATCCCCACCAGCAATGAATGAGAGTTCCTGTTGCTCCACATCCTCACAAGCATTTGGCATTGCCAGTGTTTGGATTCTGGCCATTCCAAGAGGTGTGTTGGGATAACATTTTAAATTTTATTTGTTCAAATTTGTCAATATTTTCTCTGATGGTTTTATATGTTACATATTTCTTGCTCAGTTTATTTTAAAAATTCCTCATTGTCATGTACTAAAAATTACAGGGTTTCATTTTTTACATTTAAGTGTTTGCTCCAAATGGAATTCATTTAGTATGAGATGAATTACACGTTTAGCATTTAATTTTATAATTTTTTTGAGGAATTTTAAAATTAGTAGGAATTTCCTAAGCAAAATTAATGGCTAAAAATATATTAAGTTTGAGTAAATTAGCCAACCATAAATTAATAGCACACAAGTGAAACAATAAAAAGAGAATTATTCTTTCAAAAGGCACATACAAAAGGACTTACAGGTCTTAAATTCATTCCTTCGCTTTCCTATTACAGAGAAAATCCTAAAGAACTGAACTTATCTACTATTTTGTTCTTAGACCAAAAAGGCTTAAAAAGCAAGCTTTAAAAAACCTAATTTACTGAGTAGAGACCCATCGCTTTCACAGACCTTTCAGAAAACTGGGAATCATGCTGGGGTACTCCTTCAACCTTGCCCTACCTAATCACCAAGCAAGTCCTACACCTCAGCAATGTATCTCAAAAGCATCCAGAAACCAGCCAGAGAAGTCTACTGCAGTAGTCAGGAATAGGGTGTCCAGAATCTCACATCCTAGGTGCAAATTTCTGTCACTTTTTAGCTCTTTTTCTATGATGTCCACTGCAGTGCTGTGTTTTTATTTTTAGTTTTTATAAACACTGACCCTTTTAAAATTAAGAGTATAATTATTACTAGATGAAGGAAATTACATGGAATGCTTATATTTCTTTGTTTTACCTAACTTTAATTTTTTATAATAAACATCCACTTGGTATAGAATTCAAAATGTTGCAGCATAATTTCATCTGTAAAATACTCTTTTATTTGACGTAGAATGGTAGAAATATTAGATAAAGCAAAAAAAGAAAAAAGAAAAAAAGACGTTATATGTAATATGTCAATTCCAGCTCAAAAAATATACATTTTCCTCATGTTTCTTTATTACGTGCTATGCATTTTCAAATTTTCAATGAGCATGAATTCTGTTTATAAGAATAAAGGTACTTTTCTTTTGCTTTTATTAATAACTTCTACAGGGTTCCCCTTATAATTAGAACGTAGAAGACTGAGAAAAACCCTGGCTCCCAAAATAACCATAAGAAAATACTGGAAACACTAAAACAATTTTATTTTTCTTCAGAGTTACCAAAAAGCTGTACATCTATTTAAGTCGAAGTGAGCTAGTTTGCAGAGGGGGATGAAGTCTTCCTATGGAAGCAGGGAGTGGGGACCATCTTCATCACTGAGAGCGCCTGCCAAGTCTGGACACAGACACACAGGAGTGGGCTTGTCAAAGGAAAAACCAACTAATATTCTAATGGCCAAGCGCAGGCAAATGGAATCTGAGAAGCCCAAGCATGGGCACAGTCCTCTTCTTCATCAGCCAATTCTAACCTGAGTTAGCCAATTCTAGCTGAGTACAGGGTAGCACAGGAAGTTTGGGGAAAGGCTGGAAAGCAGTGAGAGATCCTGCAGTCTTGCCATACCCGTATCTAAAAACCTGCTGAGGTAGGAGGCTACCCCTACCTTCAAGCCTGTGGTGATCTAACATTAATTAAAACATCAAATCATCACCCATCCAACTCAACTCCTAATCATGTGGAAGAGATCAGATTAAAAGGGGAAGGCTTTCCAGGGGAAAGTATTATCTATATTACTCTCTAGTATTATTTTAGACGTAATACCCAGCATGCAATTAAAAAAACAAACATGAGACGTGCAAAGTAGTAGGAAAAACTGACCCTTAATGAAAAGATAAAAGTCAACAGAAGCAGACTACATATGAAGCAGGTACTGGAATTACCAGATAAAGACTTTAAAATGGAAATTGTAAAATTAAAAAATAGATAATCTGACATGAATTCACTGAATTGGCTTAACAGCAGACAAAAAGCTAGACCCACATATAGACAATGGAGCCAAGGTAAATCAATGGAGAAAGGAAACGTCTCTTCAACAAGTAGGGCCAAAACAACTGGACACACGTCTAGAGGAATGGAAGAAAGGGCAGAAATGGTAAATATGCAGGTCAATACAAAAAGTTACTTTTTAATCCTTTAAAAATTAAAAAAAAAAAACAAACCTCAAAGTCTAAAGCAAAAATAAGATACTCTGGGGTTTATACACACAGATAAGACAAATGACAAGGGCAGCACAAACAGGCAGGTGGATGTAATTAGTGTTATCAAATTCTTAACACTGCGCATGAGGTTGTAAAAATATTACAACTTAACAACCTAAGCAGTCGATGATGAAATTGGGATATACGCTGTAATCATGAGAACACTCACTGAGAGAACACTACTAAGTGGTACTGTTAAAAAGTCAAGAGAGTAAATAGAATGGATTCAAACATAAATATATTTGATTAATCTGAAAGAATTCAGGAAAATTAAAAACAGAGGAACAAAAACCAGATGGGACAAATAGAAAAGAAACAGTAAAATGGTAACCCAAACTCAATGATATCAGTAAAGACACTACATAAAAACAGACTAAATATTCCAATTAAGAGAGATTGATAAGGACATGCGATGCTGTCCAGAAAGAACACATTTTACATATAAAGATACAGACAGACTGAAAGTATAAGGACGAAAGCTGTAGCATACAACCACTGAAATAAATAAGATATGGTGATGTGAACAGGAGATACATTTTGCAACAAGGGTCAATTAATCAGAAGGACATCATCATTCCAAATGTGTGCCAGTTAAAGACAGAGATTCAAAATACATGAAGTAAACACTGACAGGACCAGAATCAGAGCTGGAGACATTAACGCTGCTCTCCATTACTGAGTACAAGTAGAAAAAAATGAGAGGATTAGGAAGATCTAAACACCACCATCAAACATGCCTTAAGTGATGTAGAGAACTCAGCAAGTGCAGAACAGACATTCTTTTCAATTACACATGGAACTCTTCTCAACACAAATAAGACATGTTATGGCATAAAATAATTTTTAGCAAATTTCCAAAGACTCACATCATGCATAGTATATTTTGGACTGTAAGAGAATTCAGTTAGAAATCCATGAAGTATCTAGAAAATCCCCACAATTCTAAAAAACCAGAGTTTAAAGAGAGTTCCATTTTGTTCTAAATTGGGGTCCTATACCTCAGTTAGAACTTTCTTGCCATGGCACCGAGAGAGGAATGGACAGCAAGTAGAAGACTGGTAGTTAAACCAACTTTTAGCATCTCATGAATCAAATATGCACATTATCACTGTAAGAAATAATTTATATGTATCATTTTGAAAAAGTAACAGAATTAGAAATATTAGGTTAGGTTCAAAGCAAGCCCCCAAACACTGAATCCATTTTAGTTGAGTCCACTTACTCTCCCCTTCTCAAATTTGACCCTTTATCATAACCACTGATTATCTCCACCTTATTGCTCCTCCCCTGTGTCAGCTCTATGATCAAGTAGGGATTTGTGCACTAACTGGAATACTTGTGGCCTTCCACGTCTGGCTTCTTTCACTTAATCGAATGCTTTTGAGGTTCATCTATGTTGTACCATGTATCAGTACATCGCTTTTTTTATAAGGTTGAATAATATTTTGACATACAAATATACCTCATTTAATTTGTCCAGTGATCATCTGATGCACAGTTGTGTCGCTTCCACTTTTGGACTAGTATGGGTAATACTTAAGTGAACATTTGTGTACAAGTTTAGTGTGGAGGTCTTTTCAATTTTCGTGGGTATATACCTAGGAGTGAAACTGCTGGGTCATACTGTTTTTCCATATTTAACTTTTTAAGGAACAACAAACTTTTCCAAAGCAACCCAACCATTCTGCATTCCCAACAGCAACACATGAAGACTCCAACTTGTCTACATCCTCACCAACACTTCCACTGTCCTTTTCTGATCACAGCCATTGTAGTGGGTGTGAAGTGCCCAAGTACCCAAGTGAAGTGGGCACTGTGGTTTTGATTTGCATTTCCCTGATGGCTAATGATGTTGAGCATCTTTTCTTGGCATTCACTTTTAAATGTCACAGTGGCAGTGGTCCATCAAAAAAGGAACACAGTTGGTTCAGGAATACTGATCTTTGGCATATACGGGTGTATTAGGAAGATATATTTAGAAAGCCAACTATCATTTGCAGTAAGACATCTGCATTAAGATGTACATGTTTGATTTCCAGTCATCATTAGATTATCTACATTTATTGGTTATTTACTACTCTGAACAGTTGCAAGTATGATTAGCTACAGCAGAAGCTTCTTAATCTGGGAGTCTAATAATGGAAAGATTTAAACAACAGTATTGTAAAAGCCAGTCCCCAGGCCCCCCCCACCGCCTGTATTAATTCATTTAAAAATAACTTAGATTATCATAACTACAGAATGCTTTAGTATAAACTGTGTAGAAAAGCTGATAGTGTAATTTGACAGGCTGTGATATTCAAGTATCCAATCCTTAAGATTACAGACAGTGAGGAACACAGCAAACCAGACAATTACAGTGACGCCACAGCTACCTCACTGGTAACCTAATTAGTTCTGGTGGATTATACATTTTATTAGATAATAACTGTTTTAAAGCTCTGACATGTGTAATATTTATTACATGCTAAAACTTTTTCTCCACTGTGTCTGGAGTGGATAGCTAAAAGTTAGAAATTAATTGAATTAGGTCAGGTACAAGGTATTTTGTGAAAACAATCTACTATCATTCAGAACTCACTATTAAGTTAAAGGAGCACTGAAAATCTGATCCTCATCCCCCACCTCCAAATTTCTCAGAAAATCTGTTATTGGGCTCATTATGGTTTTTCATCACAAAGACATTTATTCATCGGGTAACTAAAACTTTGAACAGAAGCACACAATACTTAAACAGAAAACTACTGGAGTGCTCTCAAACTTTCATTTAATCTAAGGAGAGAAAAGTATAACAATTATTCTGCAGAGTAGCATGTGTAACTTTTTCATTGATAACAGGGCCCTCCTTTGGATGATTCAAATATAATTACGTCAATATAGAAGGTTCTTTTTATGATACATGTCCCAACTTCTCCACACTGAAGACTCACAAATAATACTTGTGGGGTTTTAAAGAGGGCAAAAATGTCTATGTCATTACTGAGGAATTTTGAAAAGTTAAGTTTTACCTGTATCCATACTTTGGTTCAACTGCTGATCACTTGTTTCTCCATCCTCACTGATATATCCAGGAGGTGGCGTTTCTACAAAAGTTTAGAACAAATCAAGCACAGGTGCAACTGAATGAATCTCACCACTTTTCTCCTAGCTACCAAAGATAACCAAAGAATCACTCTGAATAATAAATATGAGTATTATATAACATTATTATAAAACATAATATTTGGTACTGAGGACTTATGATCCAGGTTCTGATCCAAATCTTACAGGTGAGTCCTTAAAGCCTACTTGTAATACAATCAAGCTCTCCAGGCATATTTTCTTAGCTATTATTTACATATCTGGCTCATTCCCATATGTATATTTTCTGGAGCAAGAGCCAAAAATAGAACTTCCAAGATGCCTCAGTTCTGAATCAGTATGCTTCAAAGACATTAGTACCTACTTTTTTCTTTTTTTAAACTAATGGCCATCATGGATGGGTACATCTAGGAGATGATTAAAGAACACACAACGCACATGAGATTTCGGATTACAAAGTAATACGAGCTTACCTTAGGTTCTATGGGGCAAAAACATGGTAATATGTTTCAGGAAAGGTCTAGTTTGAATTCCACCTAAAAAGTACATTTCTCCAGGGATTTCTAACCACTAAATCCTGAGTGTTTGAAGGAGAAATTTAAATTCAAACACGGACTACTGCACAAACCTGAGGCAAAATACTCCCTGAAAAAAATACTCTAATGTGTCATTTCCAACATGCTTAATGAACAAAATGTTTATATTCAAGAGGCATCTGAACAGCTGAATAAGCTTCATGTAAAATAAATACATGTATATAATTTTACCAGTTAGAATCTCAAGGAAGAAAAATAAGTGATTATCAACAGTTTAGCATTTTCATGGCTGGGCAGTTTGAAGCAGTTCAAGATAATGTAATTACCAAAAGGGAGAGGGAGACATGTGGGTGAAAGGGCTCATTCGCTGAACACTTCACACTCTCCCTTCAATAAGCTAAGCGCAAATCTGAACCTAAGTAGGGAACTCTTCATTCAGTGTCAGTACCCCAGAATTGTTACTGAGGAAATTCTAGGAATAAAATAAAATACCTTCGTAGACTCAAACAATAAAGAACACAAAAACAAGATTAATATGTATCAATATGTACTATCTTAAAGGTTAAAGCTAACAAAATTAAACAGGGGGACGTTTTGTCAGTTTAACCACCCACGTCTCAAAGGTCTAAACAGGAAGAACTACTGAACTTTTAAATACTTTATCCTGTTTTACTTTTCTGTTATTATCTGTAAAATAATAAAGCTATTAAGCATTTTGGAGAAAATATTAAAATTTCTCTTGAAGTGGAACAGAAAAATGAACCCTTGGCCTGAACTGTCAGTTGGCGCTGGGTAAAGCCCCATTGTCCGGAAAAGCAAATAGGTGTGACCCACTTTTGATTTTCTACTTTATAAAATAAACCAAATCTAAACAAATAAAGAAAGGAAGATAAACCCAAACATCTCCACAAGTAAAAGCCACTAGCCACTTTGATTAACATCCTTCCAAATAATTACTGGGGAGGTGTCTTATAAGACTGTGTGCTGACACCTTGGTTTCCTGGTATTGTTGAATAACACAAATTCCCACATCGACGACTTAAAGTGCACCCCCCACACCACACACACATAACTACATCCAGCTAAGGCTTCTCCCGAGCCAAGGGCCTGTTTCAGTCCTGCCCCCCACCCCGTTAGTCCTCATACCCCACCTGCTCTATACCCTTCCCTCCTAACTTCTCAAAAAGTTTGTTTCCTATCAACCTAAAAAAAGTCTTAAACCCTCTTTTGGAATAAAATAATAGTTAAAAAAATGCACATTAAAACAATCAGGAAACACTTTCTACCTTTAAAATTAGCTATTTTAAAAAATCCTTCTTTTTCTTATGTTTTTAAAATTGTCTTCAATAAACAAGCACTATATCCATGAGACACATTAACGAAATCTTTTTTAAATGTACTTGAAACTAAGTTCCTTATATATTTTCTGTCGTATTAAAAAAAAAAAAAAGAGTGGGGTGGAGAAATATCACAAAAGGAGAACAAAATTGAGACACTAAAATATCCAACGTATAGCTCAATCCTCATCCTAGTATTTTATCTTTAGTTTCTGCTAGGAAAAAACCCAAAAAACAAAAAAGGGAAACACAAAGTAAGAAAATATTAGTTGTTCTTCTAAAAAACAATAGTGAAAACTAAAACTGCATCATGGAATATTATTACTAGGTCACATAATATAGTAATTAGAGCCATAGTAATAGTAAAGTATAGTAATTTGAGAACCATGTGGTTAAATTCATTTATTTTTCAGCAGAGGTTCCTGAGGCCCGGATGAAAAAACTAAATTAGAGGATTTCTGACTTTCAGTACAGCAGTGCTGCTACATCTTAGGAATTCTATCTCCTATGGGAATGCTACATTTCTCTCAAACATTATCAAACTATCTGTGAAAATGATTATTGGGTCGATTTTCAGTGACACTTGTTTTAGGAATACTTTCTTCCTGTACCACTTATTGTGCTTACATTCTGCCTCTCTCTTAGCTTCAACAACTAAGACAAACTTACTAAGACCTTTTCTTTTCTGCTTCTCACAGTACTTTGATTAAAGCCACTGCAAAAGAAAATGAAATACAAAGTAAAACTTTTCTCCAGACAAGAGCGTTTAAAGTACGACGAGGCTCATACGTGTCACAAAATCATCAACCCACAAAGTAGATTTTTCTATTCAAAACCCAGAAGCCCTTTAAAAAGTCAAACCACAATTTACGAATACTTGACTGTTTAGGAACAAACTCTGTATCTATCCCAATCTTCAGGAGATTCGGAAGGCAAAAATACCTGGGATGTAATTGCTCTGGGGCTCGATGCCCGCTGGGAAATTAGTGTTTTCTGGAATGGAGTGGGTATAATCGTCCAGAGGAGGCAGTTCTGTCAGGATCTCAGTATGCCGTGGCACCAGTACTGGAGGCAGAACTGGAAGAGGCAGAGGGGTCCACGTCAGCAGCAAGGAAGCAGGGATGGGCATTGGGGGGGGGGGGGGGACAGACCAGACCTTCGTCGCAGAACTTCACACACACACGAGAAGAAGAAAGTAGCCTGCTTAATTTTGAAAATTTAGGGCTCACCACTTTGGCATTATACTAGCTACTGAAAGCTGACAAATCTGATCGGTTTCAACTTGCCATGTAGTCCAGAATCTAAATTTCCCATTTATCCTGTACTTTGACGAACAAGGTCATTCTGGTGATATTATTATTACCCTAAGAGTTCATAAATCCCCGCTGGAAAAGGTGCAGAAAGAGCTGTGAAGTCAGATTTAGGCCATTTCTAAAAATATAGCTGTCTTCTCTTTAAAAGTTTCAAGTACACAGCTAAGTAAACTAAAAGTCTTGCCATGAACTTCACTAGGCTGCTTAGATGCAATCAATACCATTAAAGTACTTCAAAAAGATGCTCAACGAACAAAACGACTCAACACAGCTCAGGCAGCAGACAGGTAAAGAGGTCTATCAGTTTAGTTCCAAGCAGACTGGGAATCTGGGGATTAGAATTTCCTAGATATGTAACCTGAGGTCAAACAGTATGCTCTCCCAAGAAACGGACATATCTGACCCTCTAAGGGTTTATTTTTCCCTATTTAAAACATTTAAAAAGTACTTTTAATGACTAGCAAATCATACACTGTATTTTTAGGTAATTTATTAGAATTTTACACCAAAGTTTCCCAGGGGCAACTGCCTATGAGTACCTAACATACTTAAGGTCAAGCATTAAATTTAAAACAAGGAAAAAAAGCCCCAATTTTTCTACCTGGTGTCTCAACTCTCTGGTAGTGGTAAGGGTTTACACATACTTCATCCTTTTTAAGATTAAAAGCATATTCGCAGTTTTCGATCGCTTTGAGCTCATGGTGACTGTGAAGGTCAGGCCAGCGCCACAATCGGCAATATATGACGTGTGGCAGTCCTTTTCGGTGAGACACTTGTAGACGGCCATCCAGAGACCTGTTGAGAAGCAAGGGGAAAGAAAGGTGGGAACTTTAAAAACAAAATAGGCACAGTCGACCGGGCTAAATTAATACAATAAGAGCATAAAGAAAGGAATGACAGACATTTAGTTAGTTTCAGTGAGTACAAGGAAGAAAAATGCACTATTTAATGGGGCTGCTATAAAAGTAAGCAGCAGCACTAGCAGATGTTTCTCATAAATACGCTACATAAATGACTCGGATGTCAATGAGTGGCTAACCACTTGGGAAGAAACTGATGTTTAAAAAAGGATCATACAGTATACTTGAAAAACTTTTTGCCAACTTCTATCTTGAGTAAATCAAGCTCTTATTTAGGGATGCTTTGGAGGGCATTAATACTGTAGGTGACTGAATTATCAAAAAAAGGAACTAGTGTGAAGAATGGTAAGTACCAACAATGATGTAAAGTAACTTACTCAAACTAATGTAGCTCATTACCCAGTTGTGATTGTTTTGAGTACCGAGGTGTAGTTCTATAGCTCACACAGTAATGCAGATGGTGATGAAATACAATGAGATGAAATGGACAAATACCAATATGCTCCAAAAGAGAATAAGGTGATTTAAAAAAAAAAAAAAGAGAGAACATAAAATGAGTTAGCCTAGCGTTAACTGTGATATAAGGGGTTTGGTAAATAACTATGTATTTATTAGTATAAAGAAGAGGAGATTTAGATGACAGCAAGAAATTTAGCAAAAACTGGTTATAGATCTACTTGAAAATTAGGCCAATAACAGATTAAAATCTAATCTCAAACTCAAATGAGAATATAGTTATCAAAGTTCCTATTTTTTAGGGGATGCAGCAATTTAAAGAAGATTCAAAACTAAAATTTCATTGATCAAAACATCAGCTGACACATTTAATATATCGTTAATACCGGCAAGCAGGTATTTTAAATGCCATGCCTTATTTACATTAAGGAAACATCCTAGGCAAAATGATACTGAGCAACCCATAACAGGTCTTCCAAAACAGCCCCCCGCCCCAAGATTGCTAGGATTCCATAGAGGGCAGAATATTCACCTGGTTTGTTCAGAGAAGCTGTAAAGGCCTGTTGTATCCCACTGATCTATCGTATTTGGTGTACTCAGTCCCCAAATTTCAGAGCAAGTGCTGTGCATAAATTGAAAAACAAAAAATTGATGTGAACATGGAAGCATGGTTATTCAAAATACCATGATGTAAAACATGGAAAATGTACAGAATACTTCCTTCACCCAGAAAATATATATATCGCTTCACTTTTTCACGGGCTTTTAGTGCTAGTTTCTATATTTTCCATATGAAGGAAGCCAATAAAATGGAACATGTGACTCCAGATAAGTTATGATTATGTTTTAAAAATGTGAACACCAATGCTCTCTAGCTTCATGAAATCATACCTATAATGCCCTTTCCAATTTGCTCTACTCACGACAAAAGACTAATACCTGTGCCTTTGGCCTTACTGAGAGTGCTTCATTTTATAATCTTGTTTTTTTTTTTAAAAAAAAAAAACTTATCTAAAACTGGATGTCAACTGGTCTTTTCAATACAGGAAAAATTTCACTTAAGTTAGATACATATCCACAGTTAAGATTTTCACATCATTTGTTTGAGAAATTTATCTATTCAGTTTTACTACTACTACATAGGAGAAGGAAGTACATTCTGAAGTCATTCAAACATAGCATACCACCTTAAAAGCTTTAAGAAATTGCTGTGAGGACTAAAGATATGTGAAAGCACCAAATTCTTAAAAAATGACATGAATATGAAAAATCACCTATATCTAGTTTTTCAGAATTCAATACACCTGAAGGACACAGACCAGGAAGACCTCAAGCTTTTTCTTCCACATCTCATGCCAGACCATGGGCTGCCCTGAGAAAATTCTCCCTACTTCCCTGCCATGGCTTTATGTCACAGTCACTTTTCATTGTGGGAGAAGGAAAGAAGGGCTTCAAAGGCAGTCTGGAATGGACCTTTTGCCTCTCAACAGGTCTCAGGTCAAAAGTTGCGCTTTTTACAATTAAAGTCAGAAGGTAATTTCTGAAACAAACTCAAACTCCATTTCTTACATCTTACAAAATCATCAAAATTTCAAAGAAGAAGAAGAACCATTTCAAAACAATTTTTGGAAATAAAATCAAACAACTGATTAAACTCCAGATGTACACGTTGCTAATGAACTAACTGAGTCAACATTTCACAGGACACTGTGGCAAGAGCTGTCTTCCTGTGGCCTGGCAACACACCTCGAAGGGGCTGCTGGGCCACCGCAGAGCCACCGGGCTACAGACACATTTCATGCCATGCCCTGGTGGCTACAGCAGCCAGACTGGACGATTTTTACAAATGCATTTGCAGACACTACCCAGCATCCTCTTAAGGTATTTTATAGATTCTCTTGCTTCTTAGGCTGTAGAAACCTTTCATTTCCCAAACAACAAAAGTCAGAAAAGTCAAGAAACTGGAGGATAATGTAAATCTTTTCTTTTTTCCCCAAAGATGTACTGACTAAAAAACCCGTAACATACATGGTTCTTTTATTTAAGATATTTATCAATTATCTACCGAAAACATAGAGCACCAAGTTGTTTAAATCACAATAAAATCAACTACATTCTAGAGTGTTATGAATCTGAATTTAAACCTCAGAAGGGAAAGTATATAGCTTACTCTTCAACCTTTGAAAATAATTTGAGGAAAATGACTAACAAAAGATTAGATCAAGGGGCTATTCTGCTCTTATGAACGTTTAATGAAGATTTCACTCAAGTAATTCTGACACGGACACAGAACCAGAATCTAAAAGAGAGCACAAAGAGCTTAAGTTGGGCTTGAATCAAGCCTTGAAATATATCAGACAATAATAAACAGTCCTTGTTCAGAACATGCAATCAATCTAGAGGCAGGCTGACCTAGATCCCACCCCCAACTCAGCCACTTTCCAACTTCCATCACAGGGTATGGATAAGCCTCAGTCCTACTGTTTACTGTAACATCCCTCTCCAAATTAAAAGATTTACTTAAAAATATTAAATTCGCTTCTAGCTAGTAAAATTTTTGCTTGTTTAAGAAAAATGTCTTTTTTTAAAAGAATAAATTTATAACAAAATACACAAAGCACCTGGAATAAATGAAAGTATAAATGTGTCAAAACTACACAAAGAAACATTTTAATTATTACTAAAGAACACAAGGGCAAAGTAAGCAAAGAGAAAAGCATCTATCTTCCTATTCAGGAAGACATCATAGTGATATCAATTCTGCCAAAGTTATGCATTTCATGCAATCTCAATACAAATCCCAGACAAAATTACTCCAAATATAACATAGCAAAATAAATAAGAATGACCAGGAAAACTTGAATAAAGAAGAGTAGAAACTGGCCCTACCAAATTCTGAAATGTTATAAATTCTCAATAAAAACAGTATGCAATTAGCAAGAGTACACAAACAAAACAGAAGTCCTGCCTGTAGAGCAGCCTCAATTAGGCGAATCTTCCTTCAGATAAAAATGACAGCCTCTCAACAAAATATAATAAAATCAACTATTTGAAAACAGTGGAGAGAGACCAAAAGGACAAAAAACAAAAGGAAGTCAATCTTTGTAAGGGGGGAACTATACTGGATGAGCCACATTTAGGTGGCTTTGTATCTAAGGACAGCCCACAGTCGGAGCTTGGCAGGACATCTAGACCTTAAGCAGAAAACTGCAGTTTGACTGACTGGCACAAACAATCAGAGAATGGACATGGGGCTGCCAAAGAGGCTGGAAAAAGAAGGAGAAAAATCTTGTAAGAAGGAGTGACAGGGGGAAAAATATCAAAATATGAGTGTGAACTCTGCCCAAATCTTTGACTGACCTCTCAACTACATATATGGGAGAGACTATACGGCCTGCTGAAAACTAGCACTTGGAAATCTAAAAGAACAAAATCCTGAAATCTCAGCTGTTGCTTACATCAGAGGCAAACAGTTTGGAGTTTGAGGCTGACCAAAACTATCTGCTAGAACAAAAATCAACTCTTCAGAGGAAGATAGCAGAGTTTAGAGTCTCTAGAATATTTCATCCCAAATTATCCAGTACAGAAAGTACAAATTACTAAACATATGTAGAAATAGGAAAATGTTACCCCCTAGTCAACAGAAAGAATAGCCAGTAGAAACAGACCCCCAGAATGAAATAACAGACAAGGATTTTAAAGTAACTACTGTGAATATGTTCATGGACTTGATGAACAGATGGGAATCTCTGCTGATTAATGGAAACTATAAAAATGAATCAAATAGTAATTCTAGAACTGAAAATTATAAAATCAGAAATTAAAAAATTAACCTGACGGTTGGGGGAAGACAGAAGAGTCAATATGAAGATGAGTCAACAGAAATTACCTAAGCAGAAGAAGCAAAATGAAAAAGATTGAATAACAAAATGAACAGTCTCAATAACATACAGCCCAAGAGGAAGCAAAAACAAACCAGAAGAAATATTTGAAATAGTGACGGCTGAAACATCTTCAACTTCAGTTGAAACTAAACTCATACTTTAAAGAAACTCAGTTAATACCAAGCAGTTTAAATACAAAGAAAATCACACTTGGGCACATCATTGTCAAAATATTAAAAACAAAAGATGAAAAGAAAATCTTCAAAGTGGTGAGAACCACAAAAACTCTTGGCATAAAGGACTCCATCTAAAGCCCTGCACTAAGAGACTTGATTAAGCTCTAGCCTGGCTTCTAGGAGCCTAAGGTCAAGTCCCTGGTAGGATCCAGACCCTTTTGAGTTCCTGTTGGGGAAAAGGTCAAGACGGCCAAAAGAATTTACCATTTGTTCCTGCCAACACTTGTCCATAGACCCCTGACCTCCTTTTTTAGCATTTACTTAAAACACTTGCACTTGTAAATCCTTTCCCAGTCTCTTTGAGATGTACTGTGTGTCTCCTACAGCTCAGGAGTCTTTTCTCAAGTACCTGAAATCTGTTCCTTTGAAATGTAATCAGTCATCAGAAAGGACAGATCTGTCTCCCAGATTACCCTCAGAGGGAGGGTAGAAGCCTAACTTCGAGAGAAACGCCATTTAGCAGACACAGATGGCCCAATCACACTGATACTGACCAACCCTCTTACCCATTTTTTTGCTAATTTTTCTCTTCCATGACTCTGCTCAAGCCTCTACTCATTCCCCCAGCCCCACTCCCATATTTTCCCAGTCACCTCTATGCAAATCGAAATTGAGCTCAGCTCTTCTACCACCATGATTACTGAATAGTCTGTTTTTACCACCTTTAATCAATGTCTGGCTTTAACTTTGACAGTAGCCAGAGTAGAACAATCCACATATGTAGAGGAATGAATACATGAGTAACAATTTCTCATCAGAAACAGTAGAAGCCAAAAGACAATGGAACACCTTTAAAGAGCTGAAAGGGGAAAAAACCAAACTCAACCTAAAATCTATATCCAACAAAAATATCCTTCATATAAGAAGTCAAAACAAAAACATGTCCAGGTAAACAAAAACTGAGAATTCATTTGTAGCAGACTATGCCCAAAGAAATGCTAAAGGAAAGTTCTTCAGGGTAAAAAACAGAAATAGATGAAAACTCTTAAGTCACTGAGAAAAATTAAGAGAACTAGAAAGCATTAAGTATGCAGATAAATGTAAAAGACAGCATTTTTCTCTTAATTTCTACAAAAAGGAGATGGCTATTATAGCAAAAATTATAACTCTAAAAGTATGTGGATGCAATTTGTATGACAACAGCCAACAGAAACAAAAGGATGTGTTAAAAACAGCTACACTGTTGCAAAGCTAAGGATTCATATTGTCACTGAGAAAGCAACCCCTGCCCAAAAAGAGGAGGGACATAGCAAAAAAAGCATAGAGAAAATTAAAATGAAACACTAAAAAATAATTAACCCCAAAGGAAGGAAAGAAAAGGGAGAAGAAAAATCAGATGATAACAGAAAAAAGAGTAAATCCACCACATCAATAATAACATTATACATAAATACACCACACATTCCAATAAGTGGCAGAGACTTGTCAGAATGAATACAAGATGTAAAATATCTACAAAAAAGATGTACTTCAAATAGAATACATTGATTAGCTGAAAATATAAGAATGG